AATCCGATGTGGCAGTGAAGTATGACACCGCTTGTTCAGCTGTCTCTCTGCACTCCTGTGCAGCTGGGAAAAGGTGTTGTTTGTCCACAGCCCAGAGACTGGTAATGAGGATCAGGTCCTTTCATCACCAGCCTAAATTTGACATTTTTAACTGTCGTTGTGAGATCACTGTCCCTCTTCATTTTCTGTCATACCGCAAACAAGTGTCTAGAACTGCAAACTCCCGTACTGTGTGTGCACTGTATTTTTCAGGTAACTGCAGATAAACTGTGCATTGTGCTGGGATAGCACTGCTTCAGATCTAAAAGCGATTCATGATGTTACCTGCCTTTGTCGAAACATGCTACTCTGTGTCTTTGTCGATCTTTAAACGGTAAGAATATCTCCACAACACCGAATTCCCTTTAACAGAGTCTTGGACACTGTGCACTGGGGGCTCTTGTTTTGTAATGCTGTAGCTGACGTTTTGAACATTTTTTCTTTTATCTCACTCACACTTCTAACGTAGTGCTCTGTAGTGCTGTGTATGTGTGTGGCTTTAACTCTGCTCCAGCCACGATTGGTTCAGTGTAGAGCTATTGTCATTGTCCTTTTGTCTTGTCTGTCAAAAAAATGGACGGAATGAGTTCGATTGACTTTTTATTAATCGTTACTCATATTTCTGTTGAGGAAAAGTTATCCCTGGTAGTTATCGTTACCATTTTATCATCCACTCCTAATGATGAACTGTAACAAAATGTCCTTGTGGTTTGGCTTGGATCAAGGTAATCATAGGTATACTCACGGTGTCGTTACCAAAGAGGGATCCATCAGACCCATAAGCTGCGTTTGTTACATCATCCTCCTCAATCTGCAGGAACAAAAGACAAGCGAGTGAATGGACTTGGGTAATTCTGGTGTTTAAGGAACATTTCTAAGGAAGTCATTCAGACAAACTCTGAATTCTCCAAGTGTCACTCACAGACTTGCTGTTGCTGCCATGGAGATAGTCATTCAACGCATCTACATCTCTGAAAAAGATAAAGAAGCAACATCTTTAGCAGTTTCTTTTTATTTGTGTCACTATCTGTGGTTTTAAAGTTCCCTGACATTTGCTTTACTACATGTGTCTTGTGCTTATGACCATTAAAATATTCACTTCCCTTATTCAATGAAAGATTTAAAACCAAAAAAAACAGATCTTGCAGATAGTTGTGGCACTGATTTTAAAGGCAACTATATATTCACAAGTATAAAACTGTATGGCCCGGGGTGTGGCAAGAAGAACTCGAATCTTAGTGCAGATTTTATAATCTTATAACGTTTACCCTAAAATATCCAGAAGACGGCGATCGTCATCATCATCCATGACACCTGAAAGAGTATGGAAGGCCATCAGATGAGGACATGGGACACGCTAAGGTCTAATCACTGAACAGTGGAGTAAAAAAACTTGTTTTTGTTTTACTCTAAAGTAGAAGTGCTTGAGCTCTAAATGGCTGGCATGTTTTTAGACATTTCACTCACAGGTTTCCAGCAGGAAGCATGGGCTCAGTCATTTAACACCCTTTCTTTCCTGCAAAAGGCTGGGCTGCAGAGTAAGAAACTTCATTTAGTAGAACTACATAACTGGACATGTATGTCAGATAAGGGGCGTAAGACAGTGCAGGCAGGTGCTAGATAAAAGAATGGTTCAAGTGTGAAACAGGGGTGTGGACAGGAAGTTGGGAGGGGGGGGTACATATTTGCTATTCAGTACAGAAGGACAGAATGGCCTTCATCCCCTCCTACAAATGCTTAGCTATGACAAACTCCCACCCATAAAGCTTCTCTGCTGTCCCACATTGGTTGTCTTTCCAGTGTGCAGAGTGAAAAAGAGTATTTGAGTGTAAATAACCCCACCCTGCAACATTTATACATTATAGTTCTGGTTGATGTTCTGGGTTTCATCTCTCCATTGAAAGAGGTATTGGCTTTATGTTGTGTCAGTCAGTCAGCTTGGTGCTACTTAATAATTGGGGGTTTAGGGGTTGTTGTTGTTTTTTTTAATGGCACTTAAATGATTCAATATCTGTAAGTAAATGGTTGTGGCTGCTTTATTTACTGTATCACATAATAATAATAAAAAACCTCATGTAATCACTAATAGAGCATGTGAATAAAATGGTTGTATCATATTCAATTTTATTTTGCTGTGTGTGTGTGTGTGTGTTTGCAGGTGACTGGGGAAATGTAGGTTTTGTTTTCCCATGACAGGCGACTGCAACTCTACAAAATGGCTGTTACCATGCCATAGGCTGTCTTTACAGCAGAGCCACGTTGAGCCTCCATCTTTGGTTGAGTGAGAACAAAGACAGGACAGGGCTGCTGCACAAATTAGGCCGTTTACACGGACCGTGTTTGGAGTTTAAAGCAAAAACAACGACCGCTTGAGCGATTTAAATCGCTGGAAAATCACGGTTGTTTTTTGTGTGTGTCCACAGCAAATAACACATTTTCTCGTCGAGCAAACGACTGTCCTTTATCCTTCGAAACTTGTTACAGAAAACCATGTCGAGGTTCCGAGACAAAAACAACGGAAACTAAGCCATAAACACTTCACAAAAAAGGCATCAAATACGGGCTGTAAAAATCTATATTATCCAATTAAATCCAAAGTGCAAAAAGTTAACGTTTACAAGCGATCACCTCAAATTGTAATGTTAGCTACATTAAAAATGAAATGACCGAGCTGTTTATGCTGGCCAGAATAATAACCTTTAAAAAAAATGTGATCTAGCTCGATATCGCCAGATTTGCATCTTTAATGCCAGTTTTGACCAAACTGGCATATTTCTGGCGTATTTCTTGTTGCATTTTTTGCCTAATTTCGAGCTCAAATTCACAACCACCAGCAAATCCAGCACAGCACGTGCGCTTCGACGCAAATCCACGGCTAGTCCCCGCTGTTAAAGCCGCACAAAAACACGGCTAATGTACAGCTTGCAAGTTTTATTTCCAAAAATAGACTGAATCGACAGAGAGTGATAATCGCATTCAAGCAGCACAAAACGCCCGTCGTCGCTGACGTGCTCTTTCTTTCTCTGTTGGGGAAGGCTTTCATTTGTCCTCTATGTGGCTCGTCTGCCAGCATGAAAAACGTCACATTTTGCCTCGATATAGCCGAATCGACGCGTTTCAACCCGGGACTTTTGTCCCCAGTCCGTGTCCTGCTCGGGTCTTTAACTCAGCGGCTCCGCCACATTTTTAACTTTAAATATCGGCCTGCGCTGGTTAGCTAGCCGCGGCGTCGATGACGACGCCTATTTTGAAAGCCAGAATCCGTCGAAAAGGGCTAAAACCGCGTCGAGCCATAAATATTTATCCCGATTAGCATAACATAAAGACGACTCAAAAAGAGGCAAACCCTTTTACTCCTGTCTCACTCCTTCTTGAAACCCAATATCTCCATTTGGCAACTTTTAATTTGCTCCCCCCCTCCTTCTCCTCCTCCTCCTTCTCCCTCTCCCACTCATATATTTTTCTCACTGTCCCTGCTCTGTCTCGGATAGATTTTTCTCTCCGCTCAAACTCTCTTCCCTCCCTGAAGGAAGGGAGGAAGGAGGTTGTGTGTGTTTTTTCCTTGAAATTTTTATCACAAAATTATAATACACTCAAAGGGAAACTCACCGTCATGAAAAAGCAGTGCCTTGTCAACGGGGTTTCCTCGCCATCACCGCACGGGTTGTTGTTGGGGTAGTGCACACAGCGAAATCAGCGGTCCTCAATGACTGCATATGGCTCCATGCATTTGAATACGAAACCTTAAAAACAACCGCAAATAATTAATAAACTATTTTTAATGCTTATGTGAATTATAATTACACGTGGCTCTGTCTTTATAAATAGCGGATAAACGTTATTACACTTAATCACTGCGAACGGTAGAGGGCGGGCCTTTGTGTGTGCCACACCTGGATGTTGCTCAGGTATGCCTAGTTACCTGCTGAGAAGCCTATTTCGTATTCAGAAAGCAGTCAGACTTTATAAGAAAGCAAAGCGTTTACATTTATTACACTTATTGTTTTTTTTATATGTAATTCAATCGCATTTTACACACACTTTCGAGTAAAAATGATATTTCTTCCACCTTCTAGTGTTGTATGTGATGTCTTTATTATAAAAACGTTAAAGAAAATATTATTTAAAAAAGAAATTCAGTGTAAATACCTCATATTTCTATACATAAACACTTATTGTAAATGGTCTTTAAGATACTGTGTGCAGTTCATATTAATACTTTGATATTTACTTTCATATCTTTATCTAACATTTTTATAGCTCTATTTACTTTTACTTTTACTTTTGATTCATTCAATCTGCACAACCAGGGGGATGGGACCTTACAGTAAACGATAGATGAATAAATGGCATGCTATTTAAATGTATTTGTTGTCTATATCTGTAATGTGTTTCACAAAAACCACACTATAAATATGGGTAAACTGTAGGGAGCAGGGTAGATAAAATGAAGGTGATATGAAAAAAAAATTAAAAGGTTCTTTGAAATATATAAATATTTCATTGAAATATATAAATATAAAACGAATGGAAATATAAAAAGAAATTAAATAAATAATGCAAATGTTCAAGTATTTACTGTTCTTTATTTTGTTTTACTTTAAAATGATGAAA